GTGTTGAGTATCAGATAAAATTGATTTAGACCATTTATCACATGAGTTTAGGTGTCTGTCGACCATGATAGTAACGAGCTGACTAATTGCTTCAGAAATTACTCGACTAAGAACCTTTAATACCCTTCGCAATATGATATAATCCTTTTTGAATAGCCCAGGAAAGACCAAGGTGAGGGGAGGCAATATAGAATATTAGCTAAGCTGCAAGAGTTAACAATTAACAAATAACATTAGTCTTAACTTCTTAACCTAAAAGGTTAGACGGAACATTTTCTTACAAACAGTTAAGATATGGGGAGATCAAGGAAAGTCGGAGGATAGAACTATACCAAGGTATTTTATGTTTAACTGACTCTCTACATCAGTGCTCTCTAAGCTACATGCATCGTGTGAAATAACGAGCTCGTCAAGATCACGTTTATTCCTTGAAGGTGAAATTAGTTGTCTGACATTCTGAGGGTCAACTAGCACTACAAAACATGCGATACTTCTCCTTCCATCTCAAGTGATGTAGACAGTTTCAAAGACAGCCTCAACTCACTAGTAGTGTTATCTTAGGACCTACAGACTCAAAAATAACAAGGGTGTTCCAGAGACAATGCATTCAAACAAAACTCCAATCAATATACTTATGAAAGTAAACTCAATCTACAACCTACTCAGCAATAAAATACAGCCGTCCATCCACCAGCTGATGAAAAGGTCAAACAAGTCGATAAAGAAGAACTGCGACGCACAGAAAAGAAGGGTTACCCTCACATGACAGAATAAGACGTGAGCTCGAAGGGTCACATCATAAAAGATCTATCATTTACAAGTGAACAACAAGAAAAAAGATAGCTGGATATTCAGGCAATTTCCAAATACTTCTCACTTCCTAATGAAGTAAGCACTCAAGACGTCACCAAACCTAATGCTGAGACGTACACAGTGAAAAAATTACCAAAATCATCAAAGTTCAGAAAACATTAAATAGAGAAGCATATAACACTAAATACACAACTTTCAACCCTTAGACTTTTCGAACTTCCTTCTTGGCGACTGAAACAAGGGGTGTTAGGTCCAAGTCTCGGTGGAAATATTATTACTGTTCACTGGGATGCAGGCACATTGAGCTAACGAGTCCCAAGCAGGATGAAACGCCTATCCTGAACTCTACTGTTAGCCAACATTAAACAAATAACTATAATGTGCTGGTTGTAGTTCAGTAAACATTTCCTGAGAATTAAAGAATATTTGGATAAATTTAGCCGAGTGGTTATTCAAAACCTGACGGATCTTCTAAACAACTTAATGTCATGACCCCCAGGGTTTTTGTATTTTTTACAGAATATTCCTGTCTCGTCGTTACCCAGAACACACAATTAAGTAAAAACTAACTCTAACAATTGAGAAGTGGTTTTAATCTAAAACTTCCCATAAACATGTGGAATTAAATCCATCTGCCATAAATTACACAGCTCGAAGTGAGGCTAGCAAACACCGCTGTTTGTCATGAGTAGTTTTCAGATGTTTACATCAATCTGTCGGTAGCGTATACCACCACACACATATCATTATTTTATTACTTTGCGTTCTAAGTGGAAGATAAGGCTTCAGCTTTCAACTTTCATTAGCGGTGGTGTTGTTTTTTACTGGGTAAGTTTTCTAAGATCAACCCCAAACTTACCTCTTTACAGAGCTTACTATCAGTTTAGCGGGATTTAAGAGTGCGTCGACCAGATTTCTAACCCCGGATCACATGTCTGGTAGGCAGGCATTCTACAACTAAACTAATGACGCATGTCACACGCAAATACATATCTGTTGTTGAAGTCTTCAACAAGTCTTCTTTGGTTCATTTCACCTTCTAATACAGAATAAATGAGTTTTTTCGTCACCCTTCATTTTATGAGTAAATTTATTTTATATTCTGGTGTTTTAATAATCTGATAAGTGATCACTCTGCATAACTTACTGATTATTGTAATTCTTTTCAGATAGTTTCTGTACCAAAGAAAGGTATCTTTATTAAACTACCATTCAAGGGTGATCAGACCATGCAATACTGATAGTGCAAAGGCTTCAGTCAGCTAACAACCACACATCCTCCGCCTCATACATCCTACTTATATCTCGAACATTTTCAATCCATGTGCCCACGATTAAACGACAGAATTATGTTGACACTATTTCACTCTGTATGTACAAGTTCATCTGCAGTTAAGGTAACAAATATATAGTTATAATCCCGTGTCCTTGGAACGGTCATGTTTTACTAAGTAGTTATGCAGTCACAGAAAATCCAAATGTACTTAGTCTGAATAGAAATCCATCATCATTCACTGCAAAGCATTTGTTAGTATCAAGTCATAGAAACAATAATGATGACTAATTGGTGCATGATGACTAGGAGTGGGATCCAAGATGTGCATTTCGTCCTATTTGGGGCTCGTCATCTGGATGTACCTACCTGCATTCCGCAGTGAGGGACGATTTTCCCACTGAGGCTCAAACCCAGTGCCCATAGTTTCAAACACCAAAACCCTATTCACTAGACCACTTGCGCCACAAGAGATCCGGGCAATATTACTTGTTTAACTGAATTTTAGATTTTCCCGTCGATTGATTGGACCGAAATGCTTGGTGTCAGGTTGACATATCGGCTTCTTGTACAGATGCTTCGACGATGTCTCAGCATGTAATTCGAAGTTAATTGTTGGGTGGTTACTAACAGTAGAATACAGGATGCGCATTTCGTCCTATTTGGGACTCGTCATCTGGATGAACCTCCACAAGAAGCCGACATGTTAACCTGAGACAAAGCACTTCGGTCCAATCTATCAACGGGAAAATCTAAGATTGACATAAATTTTATTCACTGTTTCTAAATTATTTCACATATCCCAAATTCAAGGTTAGTAGTCAAGGTGATGGAAGTACTGTGGATTAATCACATGCTTTCCAAACTATGTGTACAAGCTTCAACCTTTGCCTACCATGGTCTGCTTGACCTATTAAAAGTACGATTGTTTAGTGATATGCACTTTTGTTTCATATAAGTAATTAATTCTCAAACATTTTATTTAGTTATTGTGAACTATAGTAGTTGTAAAGCTGCTGCAAAAGGGAACTATAAAATGATATATTTGTCTTTTTAATGACTAATCTACATAGTGTTTCATTAAAATGTCCTCAATGATGAAGTGAACTGAAATTTCAGGGCAGAATATGACACTTAAGTGCATCATTTCGTATAAACGCACGTTAAAGTGGAAAAAACCACAAAATAAATACCAGAATAGCATAATAAACGGAAATAAGTGCAAAAAAGAATAGTGACATGGAGGATGATGAAGATTTATTAGATTTGAGAGATCACAGTGTATTCATAAATCTTCATTATCGACTAGGATTTTCAGCCATGAAACAATCTATAATCACTGATTTCTAACATCCTGAGCATCTTAGCCACTCTGCTTACGTCAGCGCATTCAATTCAACCTTATGGATTGGTGCCATGTTATTATTTAATGTACCACTTTTAGAACTCTTTTCCAGCCCTATTCTATATCAATCAATCAGCTGTCATTGCTTGACGAGGAAGGCGATGACTCGGCATTTGCAGCACATGTTCTAGGTATCTCAACTAGTCCGGCTTCACAACCTTGTCGACTGACCCACCCTCCTTACGCACCACTCTACACCTAACCAGTTATTGACAATATTATGTCGTCTAATATGAGAAATTGAACACAAAATTGCATGTATGATCGACAGCGACTCATCGCCTGATATGTTTCACATCCCGTAGCGGTAAACAAGGACGGAGCATACTTTCGAGCAGTAGATACTTCCTTTGGTGGATAGCCTGATATCATGTCCACTCCGAACAAAACATCTTCCATTATCGATTAAATTTCATAGAACACTCGTCTATCTGTCAAGTGACGTTTGAGAGTACGTTAAAAATTGTACGATGCATATAGTTGATAATTATGTGTTTGTGCTGTAGGCAGGTGGTGAGGTGCCATTATTGAATAAATGATGGTGTGGCATGTTATTCTGCACAAACTGGTGTTCTTGATACCACTTACCTGTTAAAAATGAGTTGGATGATTTCGTACTTTTACGATTTCATATTAAGCTTTATAAGGCTGTCGAATCACGTGATACGATGAAGGGAAATGGTTTTAATGACCGTTTTATCAGCTGTAATTACTGCTGCCATGTGACATTGGACTGATTTTGACACACACACGCACAACAAAAAAGTTGTTATTCAGTATCACTTGAAATGAACTAACCAATGAGTTGTAGTTACAATGACAGTTTTTTAATAAAGAGATCATGTGGACAGCGATCACTGATAAGTCTTAGCAACTTTCAAAACTATTTGTATAATGTTGTTAACATAGAGAGGTTTTACTGCATATGCCCTCTAACTGTGGCGTCGTGGTCTGTTGCTACGGTGATTTAAAGACAGATTATATTTCTTAGACGTTTTTGTTAAATGACGTACAATATCATCGGTGGCATTATTCTCTTGAACTGTGTTACATTTGCTGCACTGATATCTGTACAATTTGATGGATTAAAGGAGGCGGTGAAGTTAAAAGTAAAGTTTTGGATTTTCATGAAATTATGCTGGTACAATTTAGCCTGTTTATTAAAACACGACAATACTCACTGCATAAAGCAGGTGGCGCCATTTCAAAAAAGCGATATTCCATATAATCGGCCGCAGACATCAGTTACTTTAAATATTATCAGATATCATCGGTCTTATTATTAGCTGAATGGAATGTTTAGATGACGCATAATTTAAAATAAGTATATATATATGCACATAAAGGTATACAGTTTTTCAAAATAATCCTCTCACTACTACTTTACGAATCGTTTCTACGCTGAAGGTCATATTGCTTAAAATAGACAGATTATTAAGCAACCTGTCTGTTAACTTTCTATTTCCGTCTTGCCCATTGTTGAACAAATGAAAATAAAATCTCAGAATAGTAGTAGTTAATTGGTATTTATTAGTGTCACAACAATCATATTGCAGTACTGGCAGTATTATTGGAAAAGTGCCCGTACATATAAATATATTAACATAATCAAATGGGTAGGGTAGAAAGGCAGGTTGTGGTAATGATAGAAGGGAAATTGCTTCCAAAAAGGGCATAAAATCAACTCAACTACTGTTAGCCGAAAGTTGCGTAATTGTACTGGGTCATTAATGTCAGCAATAATAATAATAATATTAATAATAATAATAATTTGGAATAAGCTGTCATCCACATTGTCATCATCATCAGTGTTGCCTATTTGTTTCTAACTCACTGGTACAAAAACGAACAAACAAATTTTATTCGTCGGTGTAATAAGTAGTATATTTAATTAAGACCTAAAATTTGCGCGGTACACATTTTACAATGGTAGTAATGATAAAAGACTGCTAAAAAATAACTGACACAAGTACAAAAAATGGGAATCATATAAGATCCTATCCGACTGTCAGTATCAGTTAGACAGAGAAATTAGCTAGGCGTAATAATAATAGTAATAGTAATAATAATAATAACGATAACTGTTATCAATTTTACCACACAGTACTACTTTAAGAATGATAATAGTAGTAATAAAACCTGTCATTATAATTTTCATCGAATGATGGATAAGTAGTAGTAGTAGTTAGGCGGAATCATAACTTTTAATGATCATATTTCATATTATTGGGTTGTGGAGTCACTCGCCCACACATCTACACACCCACATATATACATATGTATATAGACACTCGAATATATAGACGTCTGCAAATGCATACATCAACGGTAAATCATAATATTATTGATAATTCAGGTGTATACAGATAGAAGACAATCGAAAAATGAAGGCTATTCATCTAAATTTAGTGATGATAAATGAGGAGGAGAAGAACAAGAAGAAGAAAAAGAAAGAAAGAAAGAAAGCATAAAAGTTGTACAATCAGACTGATGATATTAGTTACATACTCAGAAGTAAACAGTCAAGCTAATTTCGAATATTGCCATTAAAAAATACTGTTAATTTAAACAATTACAAATGATTCAATTTTTTCAATGTCAAGGATAAATAAGAAGTGCCGTCAAAATCTTTAATAAATAAACTTTTCAGTAAGATAGGCAAGAGAAAGTTGAATGGGAAATAAGGGAAAAGGAAAGAAAACCGGAAAAAGCTTCATAATTAAGTTGGTCTACGCTCATATTCATCACCTTCAATACCTTTACCGGTATAGAAGCAACCAGCTTCAATAGTTGGCAGTAGAGAATCAACACGCAGTAGATGTTCATAATGCAGACGATATTCATTGATTTGTTTACGTAAATAAAACATTTCCGTTGTACGTGATTCATTTAACTGTTTCAACAAAGTTAAACGTTCATTTAATTGAAGTTTTATGAAATCATTTTTTAAATTGCTAAATCTTGTCGCTGCATCTTCACTTGTTATTGTTGGTCTACTGATTATTCCTGTACCAGGAGCTGTTGTTTCAGCTAAAGTGGGGAAAAATGCATCAAGATAGACGTATAGGTGTATATATGTAATATGAAGACACAGAGAATTTAGCAAAATAAGAGTGTTTGCAAGAGATATGGTTAGTTACAGGTCTGATCACGACTTGACCCAGCCAGAGAACTATTGAAAAACCCGGGAGTACTGGACATTTGATGATTAACCTGATGCTCACTAGTGACTAGCACTATAGAGGAAGATACCTGGATATCTTGTGAGAAGTTGTAGTCGGTGGGGTAGATCTAGTTCCAGTGGCTGAATGGTCTACGAGCTCGTCTTGAAGCCGGAAGGTCCTGGGTTCGGACGTCACTGCGTGAGTATTTCTGAAGAATCCCCGACTATGATGAAACAATTGTCCAGTACTAGTTGGTTTTCTAGTGATTCTCTAACTTAAGGACAACTACATCAGATAATGAGTCCAACTCGTTAAGTCACCATTCTAACTACAGTCACTCAATGTCATCACTAATCTTCTGCCTCTCATAACGAATCGACAAACCTCGCTTGACAACAGAGCCTTACCTTCTTTTCTATAGTACGCGAGTAATTCTGAAGAGGTGCAAACTAGGAAGAGTATAAACATCTAGTTCCTCCTCGTTTTTTTAAGTATTCCCAAAACGCTGTGAAATGACCACTGGATATGTGTTTCATTCTAGTCTGGAACTCTTTCATAGTGTAGAATCCGAACACTCAGGTAATAATGACAATGGGTGGTGATGGGGCCTGAAAAAATTCTTGGGTCATTCGATTTCAACCCGACGGTGGTCTCACCAAGTGGGTTCTACCCTTGTTGGCTTAATAGTTGTTCACTCCTGAAGAGTCCCAAAAGGGAATTAATTGCATCTCCCTTATTCCCTACTTTTCAACGGTTCTCCGGATGATCACCGTTAAAGATGAAATCTACCTTCAGGTCAATCATATCCTGCAACTCAACACTTTCCAAAGAGGTTTATTTGACACAGAAAAAAGACAGCGAATCTATAGATATCCTAATTCCACTTGTCCATATCTTCTTCCCTGAAAAGAACAGATTAATATACATTGTTAAATATAAAAATTTAACTGATCAAAGGAGACACATACAAAACAAGGAATAAAGTATCGAATCAAGATACTTTATCTTAGTGTATCAATTTAGCTAACAGCATAAGGCTTCTTAACCAGCCATTCAATATACATTGAAATATGAATGGATTAGAATTTGGACAAACATTTATTGTAATGAATTGCTTATAAACGTGTTTTATACGTTGTTAGCCTGAAGAAACATAAAATAAAAATAATGCTACATTGTTGTCTATAGTATCCTTTTTCTTGTCCATTTGTAAATATTTTTCCATGCCTTACTACTATTCAAAATTCTTGATTGGTTAGCTATAGGATGCAGCACTCATTTTTTAGCCAAGATGACTTCTTAGTGCATTTGAAATATTCATTGTGGAGTGTTTAGTGGACCACAATGAGCTGTTGATTAGGGTGAAGGCTGAATTAAGGGTTTCAAAACAAGGCTGACATTGCATGTTTTTAGACTGTTCAAAAACATGAAAATAAACATGAGTTGATTGCAGATTGATATTGGTTAGGGAACCATTGAAAACCAGGGAGTACTGGGCAGCTGTTTCATCCTAGTTTGAGAAGTCGTGACCAGCGAGGTTAAACCAGTAAAGTGTGAGGATGGATGTCCCATTGTTGACGTTGGTTGGTGGTTGGGCTAAATCACGAATTGGTAAAAGATAGAATTCATGGGTTGGCCACTGAATTGGGTCCCAGTAGCTGAATGGTATACAAGTTTGCCTTGTAACCGGAAGGTCCTGTGTTCGAACCTCCTGTGGTGGGTGCGTACTCCTGATGATTCCCAAACTAGGATGAAACAGCAGCTGTCCAGTACTCCTGGTTTTCAATGGTTCTCTAACTGATATCAATCCGTGATCAACTCGTAAAAACAAATCTAATCCTTACAAACCAACTATAGAAAATAAGTATGTCCAAATCTTGCTTCATTCATAATGTGACGTGTTTGAATAACTTAGCAACATGTCTTACATTGTAAGCCTAAAATCTAATGTTCACTGTTCTTCTCAAGTGACAACTCGTAGTTAAGAATAGTCTTTATCTAAATAGATATAAATTAGCACTGGTCAAAACTCTGTTCTGCAGAGTCAGGGGAATATGCTCTAAGAACAGATTAGAAGAAGAGTTTCTGACTCTTGGAAAGGTGTCGTAAAACAACGGTTACCCTCAGAGATTCATCAACAAGTAAGAAAGATGTGAAGGTTCAAGTGTCAAACAAATCACAATGGGAAATAAGCCTGTCTTCATTCAACTCGATTTCAAAGGTGATAATATTGTAGGAATAACCAATAATCACTCGAAGCTATCAATATAAAAAATAGTTCAGTTCTGTCTAAGTTTGCCGAAACAATAGCTATTAGACGTTTGGAATGCAACTTATGTGTTCAGAAAGAAGCAGTTAAGAGTATTTCCTTGCCATGGTAACTTAATGCTTTCATTCCGTCCTTCATTTGACTACGCAATCTTTGCATCCATCCTATCACTCACTGACATAGTGTGTACATTCGCTTGTCTCTTGTCTCTATGATTTGAGTTGAACTCAGTATATTCCTATTCAATTTACTAGTTACTCATCATCCTACTCGCCTCTTGCATTTATTACTCAACCCCTTTGTCTTTGTGAGCAGACAGCTATTTTTATCTGAAGGTAAAAACTAGATAAGTGTAATTTTCTGAGTATTGTTGATTACGTTTGGAGCCTTCCTGTCAAGTGACGTTTGAGAGTACGTTAAAAATTGTACGATGCATATAGTTGATAATTATGTGTTTGTGCTGTAGGCAGGTGGTGAGGTGCCATTATTGAATAAATGATGGTGTGGCATGTTATTCTGCACAAACTGGTGTTCTTGCTCTATTCATGGTTAAGAGGTTGAAGTTACGGGGTTCGAATGAAGAGGTGCTTTTAATAATCTGGTAATTCTAAATGTTTTCACGAAAGGGTTATATTTTAAGTATTAATGAAGATATATATATATATATATATATATATATAATTGTTCATTGCTTGAATTTTCAGTGGAACACTAAGCTTCAGAATCACATTGAGATTACTTTTATCACTTATTTTCACGACTACCTACAAGCTTTCACTTCCAGTGCACATGATATCCCCCATGTCACTGTCGGATCCATACCCAAACCTTCGCATCCTATTCGTGTTCCATTCGCTGGCCTGAGATGTGATGGCAGTTAAATGTCCCGTCCATCATCTCCTTCTGCACACTTCTTGTTGTTTATCCATTCTGATGAGTCAGATGACATTTGAAATCTAGCCAACGCATCAACAGTAACTGCTTTCTTCTAATACAAGGTTTACTCATCAATGGGATGTCTTTTGATAATAACAATGTGTATTTCTTATAATAGCCATTGAAGTTCAACTTCAGATTTAAGGATAAGGAGTGAAAGACTAGAATGTGTTGACCTCATTTCATCTATTTAGGAATTTGTACCAACCCTAATTGACCGATCACTGACTGAGTCCCAGCATGGATTCAAAAGACTCGTTTTGACATTTACCAACTTATGTATTCTCTGATGCAGGAATGATATTCATCTTGCCATGAAAAATGGCATATATGACTGATTGAATTTAGAAGGCAGAATTTTGCACAAAGTACAGAACCAGATGAAGTTGCTACACTTTATAAAAAAAGTAGAAAAAACAATAAATGTCACGAAGCAGTTATAGATGAAAATATATGAGAGAAAGTATGAAAAATTCACTTTCCTCAGTGAGAACCACTTTTAGCCTTGCCACCAACAGTCTGTGATCTTTAGTTCCTAGTGATTCTAAGGATCCTAGCTACTCACGCGTCTCAACATTCTAAAGATTCATGGATTGGTGCCATATTTTGATTTACTTCCGCCCCCCACCACCTCAGAACCCGTTTCCAATCCTATCATATATGAATTAACATTCACGATACGTAGCACATAGTCTAGTTAGCTTCGGCGACTGACTCCCCCTTTGCTTAACAAACTATGCTCTACTACATGAAATTCTCTACAGCCTTGAACTGTAATCATTTCATAAATGTGCTGTATTCTTTACTTAAGGTACAATATGCACTACAATTATCATTTTAACAACAGTTTGTACTTTTAGCTGCATTTATTAATCAGGTCGTCTTCTGTATCATTTTTCTTCCCATGTTTACTGTTGTATAGATGTGAAAAGATTTATTTTGCGTTCCATAAGAATATATCAAATTATTTACAACTGTTGACAGTGGACATTATAAAGTATTAGACTATACATAAAATTTGAAATTACTGCATATGTAGAAGATTTAGACCACACAAAACGAAATGAGAATTCATCACATAGCAAAATTTTCACTGTTCTCGCTTGACGACAGCAATAAACAGTTATAATAACGTTAGAGATTTTAAGTTTCAATGGGAATTCAAGTATTCCACTGGTGATGAATAAATTGAAACAGCCGAACACAAATGGGATGCTAACACTACCATGGGTCCTTCTTCGAATAACTCACTATGATAACGTTGTTTTACACCCTAATTATTAAATTAATTAGAATATATGTGGTAATGCGTCTTTTCCTGATTCAAACAAGTAGTTTGGCGGTCTACCGAAAGAGCAAATCATCATTATGCTGCAATGTGTCGATCAAGACATATATCCCACCTTCAGTCATCATCGATTATATCAGTGTCAGTCGGCTAACTTAAGGCTATTTCAGATAGCCTCGCTATGAATGTGTAGTTAGAGAAACAATAACGTAATTGTTGTTATAACTGACTTGACTTTCAGGTGGTAGTAGGTCATACATTCAAATCCCATCTCACGCTCAGCTTTTCTTCTTTTTCGAGCCTGTGACAGGCTAGTAAGCTAGGCGAGGGTAGATTAAGAAATATGGAGCTATGGGAGAGAACCAGTGCAACAAATATGCAGAAAGAAATGGTAGTGGAGAAACCCGACATCCATCACATCCCAGGCCATTGAGTGCAACACAAATGGGTCGGGTATGGATCTCACGGTGACCTTGAGGAAATCACGTGTCGGGAAAGTGAAAGCTTGTAGGCAGTTGTGAAGTCAGGTGAAAATGTTTGCGATGTTGTTCTAAAGCCTTACGTTCATGTGAAAACTTCTCAAACAGTCAACTCGAAATATTTGAGGGAGTTTTGATACACTACTAAACATTCTTGTTAGTAGCAATGTTAATTAATTATTACAAGTAACATACTTATTTGTTCTTTAAGCTTTTTCATACGTCGTAATAATTCGTTGACATCTTCAGCTAATTTTGTTGCACCACGATGAGATTCATCAGCTGATTCAATTACACGCATAGCTTCTTCATTGATTCCTGTAACAGTTTGTGCTGTTCTTTGTATTTCGGGTACAATTTCCAATTCATGACGTGTTTTCAAATCACTTAATCTTTCATAGAATTTATCCAGTTGACTTTTGTCGTCTGTAATCTAAAAATAAAAATAAAAAAGTACAAAAGGAAGAAGTTAGTTTTTTAAAAGCCCACAAGTATGCTTTCCTATGCTTGTACTGTCCTCGGTGTACAGGTGCTGTTGACATCAATGATATGCTGCTAGTTTGAGTTGTGGTGTAGAAGAACAGGTTTCACTTTTACCTTCAATTGTTATCAGTATTATCACGCTGACAAGAATCCTACGAATTAAGACTCTCAGGTAGTTTTAACTATACTTTCTTCTGAAGACACTTACGCATGATGGCAAGAGTTAGTCAAAGACGAGTGAATTTTGCAACAGTTCAGTGTACTATGCAAACTGTCGTGAGCTGTTTGTGTACCTTATGAAATATATAAACGAAACAAAAATGAATATAAGCACACAGGAATGATTTCATTTAGTGACTAATTTCTAATCTCCTACTTATATGATATACACTATTTATACATGACTATCTTCATAGTAAAGATGTAGTATCCTAAATTATTCACTAAACACAGCTGTGTTGATTTCGTTGTTACTGTATTTTGAAAATATTCATGAAAAAACAACTATCGCATATAATAGTATCTTCAGGATGTGATTGGTTAATAAAACACAAATAACCTTGGCATTGTAAATTCCATAACCAATCAAATAGAAGCGTACACTATCAAAATAAATGACCTAGTTTCCTATTTATACGTAAGCATATGTCTCAAACTGAACTCAATCGCAGACGAATACTACGTCATCAGCACAAATCACAGTATTGAAGGTAGTAACATGTTAAGAAAATGTCTGATACTAAACTGTCTGGTTCAAATGACTGATTCTAAAAAAAATACGTTTACTCGTAAAGATTTTGTTTTGTTTTTCAATTTAATGTAAGTATATGTATGTGTTGTTTGTGTGTATGTGACATAAAAAGGAGACAGATATGTTGCACATGAATACAATAAATTTGGCTCAGACAACTAATTTACGTGTTCAATTAGCTTAATTGTTTTTAATAGAAAGAATAAACTAAACTGTGAGTCATTGAGACCAATGTTCGTTCTAGTAATTTTCTTTGAAGACACACACACATGAACATGAGCTAGTTTTCTTTATTCTCATTAACTTAATTTTATAAGAGATTAATTAATTAATGCTGGCGAAACTTAAAAATAGGAATTACATGGCTGATGAAACTCTTTATTTTTAGATTTGTGTTAGTAATATGCTTAATTTCTTCACAAACCAGCATCAAACAATAGACTGACCGCAGTTTCACTCTGTTTTCTAACTCTTTACTAGTGTTAACCGACAGCTTTCAGGTTACGAAGCAAGCTGGGTGGCGAATCAGCCACTTGTCCGAAATCTGATAACCTGTAAATTCTAACTTATGTCAACTAGCGTTAGATACAGCACTACTGACAATTAATTCCATTGATGGACATACGACTCATACAGTACTGGATGGACTCCTCTTAACACGACCTGTAATTAATTAGGAGCTGTTTGGTCACCAACTTTTTTGATCACACAATTTCGGGAATTAGCTGACATTCAAGACAATGTACCACTAGATTCCATTCGAGTAACTTAATGTAGTGAGTTATTTTCAATAATTGGTTTGTAAGGATTAGATTTGTTTTTACAAGTTGGTTACGAATTGACATCAGTTCCCTAACTGATCAACTCGTATTAAGTTATCATTGAAGGTGAAGTGGGAGTCTAAACCACGGTGAAATTTGAACCAGTGGCCTCCTAATTACTAGTCTAACCCTAGTTCAAATCCCTAGGCAACCTTATCGCGTCACCAGTTAGATCAATGATGGAGTCAAATTTAGTTTAAAGAATATCAGCATTTTATATACATGTTGTATATTTGTGGCTGTCTGTAGCTACAGAGTAAAATTAAAATGAGATGCGTCCATTCTTTTCTGCATATCTTGTCCTTCCTGCTTTGGAAAAGATATCCTTACCTAATAGTCAGACTACTTGTGTGTTATATATCCCTCGTATTTTTGGTAATACCCCATTAATTTCGTGCTAATATGAAGAGCTATATTAAGCATATCAGTTGATTATACATTTTTTAAAATACTGCCGGCTAAATTATATTGGAACGATGTGTATTCTATTTTTTTTTAAATTTCTGTGTATACACATTATGTGGTATTATTATGACTGTCATTTGAGCTGTTACTTGAGATAGTAAAATGCTCTCTTTCTTCTTTGCGTTGCCTATCACTGGTACTGTGTTGTGGTGGCAGCCCTTGAGAACAGTGATTAGAACAGTAGGCTCGCAAATCTCTTGGTTAGCAATTTCGTTAGTGCAAGAGACTCGTAACTACTACTCTGTTGTACTGACGTTCATATGACTGTGATAGCCTTGGATTAACAGACTAATAATACAGATTTAATGACTGACAATTTATAAAGTGATGTGAAAGTTTGCTCCATGTCAAGATTCGAACCAGAGATCGCTGTTTAACATAACCCAGATTTTCATCCCACATTCAACAACTGATAAAAATTCTTTGAATAAACCATTTTAATCTGATGAATATTATTGATAGGAACTGGTTGTTTTTCACTCAATATAAAGTACGCAGATATTTTCACGCAGAAGTGTGCATTTATCATTTCGAGGTGTGTTTATGTGTTTTAACAAATACAGATCGAAACATCTGTCTGTAGTTTAGTGCACTTTATCGGTATATAGCTACACATACACACACACACACACCAGTTTCAGGTCTCGATAACTAACTTTGATTTATCGTTCACTTCATCTCCATCTTGACTTTTACTTAAAAAAGCCCTAAGTGTTTTATTTTTATTTTCTCATAAGTAAGAGAAAGGAAATCGTTTTCAAGTTAATAGATAAGTTTTTAGAATATCAATTGGTGAGAATGATATTTGCGTTCATTGTCATATACCAGTACTGATAGTTGTATTTCATTCAGCTTTAATAGATTCCTAGGAGTGACGATTCATGCGTCATTGGTTTCCATCAAACTGGTTGGTTGGTGATATTCTCGGTGGCACAGTGGTTAGAACTCTCGCCGACCATGCACATGGTCTGGGGTTCGATCCCCTACCGGCGCACGCCTGATATCTATGGTCGGCCTGCAAAATTGGGGCTAACGATATCACATGCTGAAAATTCCATACTTGTACCGAAAATACGGTGTGGAATCAAGCTGTAATCAGAAAAAACATCCAGCGTGCACGCTCCTGAAACGTCTCAAATGAAGCCAAAGCATCTTTCCAGTGCCCAGAGATTTTCAATGGTTCTCTAAATGATGTCAGCTCGTAATGGAATCTGCATTTGAAATGCATTCTCAGTACGTGTTAGTGAATAGTTGAATCACACAGTGAGTTATTTGAAGATTGTAAATCCACAGTGACCAACCTATGTGTCTTATTTCTCATACTGTTGGCCTCGTCTTTTATCTGAATAATTCTGAACGTCTTCACTAATTGTCGTTGTTTGATTACTGATTTAATTTTCATTGTGTACTGCTAAGTCATTTCTATTAGTAGTTTCTTTTTTGTATATTTATGTGACACTGGATTCTGCTTCTTATGCAGTTGGTAGTGCCTACTAGTGGAATTAACAGTGCGCGTTCTGTCCTATTTGCAGCTCGTTGGCCGGATGTACTCAAAAAAGACAAGAAATATGCCTCCTTGGTTTCATCACAGACCACCACCAAACAACTAACCGAGGAACACCATTTCTAGCTCAAAACAACGTTGAAGCGTCTATATTAGGACCCAGCATATCAACAGAGACCGAGAACTACAGTCTAATATTATCAGTCGATGTGGGAACTAAAAGTAAGTTGAACATATTGAGTTTGTGCTTGTTCTGTTTGTCTGTCCTCATTGTCTACTTATTTATCTATGCATATATATATATATATATATGTTCATCACTTTGATGTAATTTTAACCTTATCGTATTTCAAGTTCAGTCAGTTTCCCGATCCATGGTATAAGACATGTCACTGAGCAGCCCGTGAACATAAGAATATGACTGAACTAGAATTCGGACACACTTATTATGATTTATTTCTTTGGATAGTCTGGCAACATGTTTCATACCACTTAATAATATAATAATAAATAATTTTTCCTTCACGTTCCCCAGTGGAACATAGGGCTTCAAGCTAGTAGCTTGAAGTTTCTGTAGCAGAGTTTATTTTACGGGATGGGGTTGCTAGCCTCATACCCAACCTTTCCTCTTTACCAGAATTATTTCTGGCTTAGAGAGGTACCACTGACACAGATGTAATCAAAACTGACAAGCATATATTTGCTGAGTGGTGACTAGCAGTGGAATCCCGGATGCCCATTTCGACCCATCAAGGACTCGTCTCTGTATGTACCTGCATTTTCCCACTTAGGCACAAGCCCAATACCCATTGTTTCAAACTCAAAAGCGTTATTCACCAGACCACCTGGGGGCGGTGGTGGACCAAGTAAATCCAACCTTAAATGCCTAATTCAATAGTCAGTCTAAATCGGCTGAGAAATTATGCAGATTCGGTAAAACTTACTCTTTTTTCAATTCCACTGAGCATATTTTCAATTTCTAGTGTTTGATTACTTAAAAACTGTGCAGCCAGATATTCCTTCTTAGCTTGATCATGTAAATCATTGATATTTGAGGCTAAGTCAGTTAAGCGTTTGTGTAATCCATCTTCTTCTTTTAATGCATCTGATATTAATGCTTTTGTAGTGTCAACATGTTCATCGAATCCTATAAAAATGAAAGCAGAACAAGATAGAAATTACATTAAAAATGTTACTGTGTTACTTTGTTTATCGAATGCATACATTTTTTAATAATAATAATAATAATAATGTATTATTAGGATTAGGAAGTAACACTAAATATTAAGCGGTTAATTCATTTCATTACTGGGAATAGTGAGTGACTACTGTTATCATTATTATTATTATTTCCAGATGGATTTTGTGACAAAATGAAACGATGGATAGAACCACACAAGAAAATAAAGACGCAGGGGATACATTTAGCAATGTAGCTTGAATCTCTTCATCAGTTCACATGATGGATTTCACTTATTACTGAATCAAAAACTTTTGTGTCTTGAACGGATCTTATTATTATGTTATTGAGGCATTGAGTGGGTATATTACAGAAGAAGGCTTCATTTGTTTCAACTTCCTTCAGAGTTGCCACACTCACAGGACAGTGACTGACTAACACGAATTACCGCCCATCGATTTTCTCTGGAACAATGTCAGTTCTACTGCTTTTTTTAAAGAGTTCCACCTTAAGATCTAACACATCCTCCAAAATTAAAAAAAAACAAAAAAACAAATGAGATTATTACAACATAGCCACAATTCCCATTCAAACACTTAGAGGACAACAGAAAGTTGGAGTGAAGAATATCCTTTCGATAATTTCCTCTCCTAGCACTACAGTTATATACATATATATTTGTATATAGTGCTTCGGTGGCACAGTGGTTAGGACGCTCGCTGACCATGCACAAGGTCCGGGGTTCGATCCCCGGCCGACGCACTCCTTTACCTCGCTGAGCCAGAAATAATGTTGCTGAAGGGAAAGGTTGGGCTTGAGGCTAGAAACCTCATCCTGTAAAATAAATACTGCACAGAAACTTGAAGTCACTAGTTTGAGGCCCTATGTTCCACTTGCAACTTGAAGGAAATATATATATATGTATAAATATGTTTATGTACACGAAATATTCTAGAATAGTCGTCATTAACAATATTCATGTTTTTGAAATAATATCGATTTGTCTACATCAATCGAATGAGAGTTAAAGAAAGACGAATAAGTTATAAGCAAACAAGGGTAATACTGAATAGAATATAAAATAAAGTTAAGAAAATGTATGCAACAAAAGTTAAGGATAGTTCATATGTTGTTGGCCAAGGTGAGGACAGTTTTTGATACTTATATTATGCTTCTTAGTGTATATTCCTCAGCAATATGCAATAGACGAACTCTTCAGGTAATTATTATTATATCCTTTAATTCCTAGAGGAACATAGGGCTTCTGCCAAACGTCTCCATTACCTTCGGTTTTCTGCCAACTTTTTCACCCCGCTCCAAGTCTGCCCACATGCTTTCATCTCCTGCTCACATGACCTCCTCCAAGTCACCCCACCCTCCATTGACGACCAACTCGCCACCCTCTTCCCTTTCGGGTTCCACTCGAGCGATGGCTTGTCTAGTGATGTCACTTGATGGTTTATTTCCTCAGAGTATGGCCAGCCAATCCATCTCCATTTCTTCCTGCCTATTTGTTTCACAGTCGGTTCCTGTTGGGATGGTTCGCTCATTGCTAGAGATCCCTCCCTGTTGATGATCTTTTCTCTCTGGCTATCTGATCTTGAGTGGTATTGAGCGAAGACAACTGTTAATGAAGGTCTGAAGTTTGTTTGAGATGCTCTTTATGACGCGCTGACCAAGTCTCTGATCCGTATGCTAAGTAGCACTGACTGAATTCACATTGGAGTTGAAAATCCAGATCTTATTTTTGATGCTGAGTGATGTTGACCTCCACACAGACTTGACGTGAGTAATGAAGGCTTGTCTTGCTTTTCCGATCATCTCTCTGATATCCTCGTCAGTTCCGCCCACCCGTAGTTGAAACGATGCTTCCCGTGTCGGTAGGTAAAGGAGGTTGTTTCTTTCAGGTTCCTCCTATTTATGCTGGCTGATTGTTGTCTGTTGTTGTCGCTGTTGCTGTTGCTGTTGCTATTGGCCAGGAATCTTCATCATCTACGTCTGTTTTCTCTATGTTCACCTGAAGTCCTATCCCCTGGATGCTTCTTCTGCTAACTTGTTGCTTTTCACTTGCATATCTTCCAGTTTATGGGAAATCAGACATATATCACCGGCGACGTCCAGATCCTCCAAGTTCGTTTTTTGTGTGAGTCCATTCTATGCGTGTTTCCTCACTGCTGTTCCCGTTGTCTGTCGCATTATCCAATCTACTGCAATCAGGAAAATCATTGGTGATAGTAGACAGCCTAGCCTTACTGCCGTCTTCACTTCGAAGGATTCCGTAAGTTTCGCGTTGTGGATTATCTGGCATGCAGCATTGTCGTATAACTGTTGGATGAGATGTATAATTGTCGATGGGACCCCGTAGTAGCGAAGTAGTTGTCAAATCAACTCTCGATCGACTCTGAGCTATCGAAGGCCTTTTCAAAATCAATGAAGTTGAGATAGAGAAGTGACTGCCATTCCGAGCTTTGTTCAATGATGATCCGTGGTGTGGCGATTTGATCAATACATGACTCATTTCTCCTGAATCCAGCTTATCCCGGTCGGAGTTTTCCATCTAGGGTTTGTTTGATTCTCTCCAGGATGATTCGGCTTAGTATTTTGCTTGGGATGGACAGGAACATAATTTCGCGTCAGCTTTTGCATTGACTTAAGTTTCCTTTCTTTGGTAGTTTGAATAAGTATCCTTTCTTCCAATCCTCGGGTACTTTGCCCTCCTTCCACACCTTCTCCAGTAGTGAGGTGAAGTTAAGATTATTCGATTATTATGGTAGGTAAGTTTGAAAGCCTTGTTAACATCACTTTTGTGCCCTACATCCACGAGATGAAATAGAATACGGCTATGAATAGATTTTGTTTGCAAATTAACAACCAAAAATGACGAAGGAGCCTGCCGGCAGATACAACTATATCATCATCATTCATGGCTAATTCAAACAAAGTTGAGTTCATATTAAAACTTAAGCTGACAATGCTGTCTGAAGGGGCAACAAAAGCTTCTCAATAAGATCAACCAACCAGCTTAGAGAACACAGCTCAATCAAAACATAGCCAGACGAACCGTTATAAAAATTAGGTAAAATAAAAAAAGCCGTTTTTAAGATTTTTAGAGAATTCAACTGATTTCATTATGAGTGTAATCACGCACAAACATTTCTCAATAACTACCAACATTTTGATTTACTTGGCATTAAGCCAAGACTTTTGTGTGAGGTGTAGTGATTCTACCTGCCTGTCAGAACCTCGGTGTATGGAGAGGGGTTTTGGACCCATGACACAAAGATTGAAAGTCGAGCTCTTACACAAGTTAGCCACATAGACAGTCACACACAAGACACGCTGGTTGATGATTGGTCGTCATTTTCGAATGGGCAATCGGTAGAAGTCAGAAGTCAAGTATCACCAGTTACATGTTTTCAATGAGGATTACAGCCTCAATTCACTATGGAACATTGACAACAAGTTCAAAATAAGGGTTGTCCATATATTCTTGAACAAAGCTCATTTCAAGTTGCTAAACTTCACAGAAAGATTCATGAATGTAGAGACAATAAGAAATTAAAAATTGCAAAGTAACTAATAATAAACGGGAATGTACAGGAGTAAGAACAACTCTATAGAGAATAATGAAATCTTAATGCATTTGGGAGATAAAAACGGGTGAATATACTTGCGTCGGTGAGAAAGATTATCAGCGATGTCATTAACAGCCTACAACCATTTGTGTTTACATTCACGAAAATCCCAGCCAGGTTTTCTACACCTTCCTATTCATTTCGGATCAACAGTCGGAGATTTCATGGAATTACGCCGGACAATCCCATGTCAGCCTACATATTTTAAGTTTTCAATTTCTCTTTATGTGATACTGGTTCACGATAAAATGTAATCTGTAATGAAAGTAAATTAACTTCCTTAAAGAAGAATAACGCATACGACATCAGACATTCAGTGTGACTTTAAACGTTATCCTATCCCCTGTATCTAGTGATGTTAACATTGAAGTGCCAGCCATATGCATATGCTGTGTGACGTAGAAGGCATGAAACATGACAGTATTATGACGGTTGGTTACACTTTCTTTTCTAGTGAAATGAGTGAATATAATCCTGGTGCCTTTAAAAAAGCTGCTGGTATGCACGTCAATATGGTCTTCATGGTTATAATAAAGCATATCTTTGGGGGAACGAGAAGAAAAGAAAACGTTGAACCGACAAGAAGATTTTGGAAGATCTGGATTTCGTGAGTGATTTATGGCTAGTGTCACAGAAATTTGAAAACTTACGGGCGGAAACCAACAAACTAGCAGAAGAAGCAGGCAGAGAAGACAGGACTTTAAGCAAACATAGAGAAGACAGTGGAGATGAAGACAATTAACCGAACAGCAATAGCGACAATAACAAGCACCAATCACTTTCAACGGGATAAACTTGAAAGATGTCATCTCTTTCACTTATCCAGGAAATATAGTTTCAACTAAGGTATGCCGCACGTATGATTATGTCAAGACTAGAATTAGAAAAGCGATGCAGTCCTTCATCTTTCTGAAATCAGTGAGGAAATCTTCTGCACTCCACCTGGAGCATAAACAACAAAATTTGGATCTTCAACACTAATGTTAAGTCAATCAGTTCTTCTATTTGGGTCAGAAACTTGAAGGGCGCGTCACGAAAAGCATCTCCAACTGCCTATTGCAGAACTTTATCAGCAGCTGCATTCGCTAACTTAATGCTGAACACAAGATGGAAACAAGAAACTCTAGGAGCGAACCAATCAAGAACTTTTCACTCAGTCAAATTCTCCGAAGAAAATAGGGATGGATCAGACACACGTTGATAAGACCGTCGATTGAGATCGCGTGGCAGACCATCGTTGGATTAGAACACAACGAATGGGAAACGACAAGTTAGGCACATACCTGAGGATGACATGTAGGAGATCATGTGAGAAGGACATCAGAGTCTATA